GTACTTGTGTCCTCTGCACTTTCTCAGTGAGAATACATAATGTAATCAGAAATAAAATGCAAATTTTTAGCTAAGGAATGTAACTTCTTTAACAAAAGCAGAAAGAAGTGACTTGTATGATGTTGTGCTGGGACTAAAAGAAACACCTTTGGTTTACAACACAAATTACAGTGCGATCTGGTTTTTCTGTTGTTTTGGGCTTTTGTTTTGTTAATTTAATCTCTTCAATATTACTGAAACCAGGTCATACTCAATGTCATTGCAATCTTCCTAATTGTTCTGGGGGAAACCACTGCCATTTGTACATATGGCTGAAGGGGCAAATATTGAGGATGGATCAAAAAGAAATGATGGTGAATATCATCTGTAGAAGCAGAAAGTTTGTTCTGTGTATACCCATAAATGTTTTAAAGCCTAAATTTAGAAGCACTCATTCTAACGAGATATGTTGATGTATGCTGTGTTGGATCTTTAAGATACTGCTGTTAGAATAATTTATACACATGAGCTAAGTTTCCCTTGATTTGTCATGTTAACCAAAACAGAGATACCCAGGGTTTTGCTCTTAAAAGCTAATTGCTGTAAGTGGGTGCCCTTTTCTTTAAACTGTCTTCTAGCATTTTGTCTAAAGGTTTGTAGGTAATGAAGGGATCCTTTTGAACTCTCTCTGGAACTGTAATATGTTTATTGAAATTAGTATGGGACCCAAAAAAACCTGTACCCGAGGAATCTAAAGTGAAGCTCATAATGTTTGCTAAGTCTTATGCACAGTATTTCCTGATTTAAAAGGGATATTTCTGGTAAAGCACTGGGGGACACTGTCCCCTTTGGCATGCCATTTTTTAGCTTGCTCTTACTGTAGCCACTACTTTCTGATCTAGCATTCCTTTTACATGAGACATTTCTACTCAAGTTTATGAAAAATGAGGGTGTTCAAGAAAACTCAGCTCTATTTTCATGTTTTAACATAAAGATGCAAATTAGGACCAGTATTAAAACCCTGACAAAATGGATGGAATTGTAAAGCAGAGTTTGTATTGGATGTAAGTAATTTGTTCTGACATTTTGTATAAACATTAGAAATAAATCAGGAGATTTACTATAAATAATACTTACTGCTGAATAATTTGGATAAAAGATAGTTGCTGTTATGGAACAGCTTTTTAGTTAGTGCTTTCAGTGTCAGTTTTGAACTGGATTTAGGAATTTGCTAGAGTGTCCTTTCATGATGTTTGTGTAGAGATTTCTGTGGACAAACTGGGAGGATGAAAGCATTAAGATTGTGCCCAGTTCCTCAAATAGGAAAATCAGTATTTAGGTTTTGGTATTCAAGGATCACCTCCTCCAAGCTCAGGAGCAATGTATCATAGCCAAGAGGAAATTAGGCCAAAATGTAAGGAGGCCTGCATGGGTGGACAAGGAGATCCTGGACATACTCAAGCACAAAAAGGAAGCCTACAGAGGTGGAAGCAAGGACACAGGACCTGGGTATGATACAGAGGCATTGTCTATGTGGACAATGACTGGGTTTGAAAAGCTAAAATCTCTTGTACAATCAAATATGGCTGGGGACATCAAGGCCAACAAGGAAATCTTCTATAGGTATGTTAGTATTAAAGAACGACCAGGGAAAATATGGTATCTCTCTGGATGGAAATGGGAGACCTGGTAACCAAGGATATGGAGAAGGCTGAGGTAATCAATGACTTTTGCTTCAGATTTCACTGGTAAGTGTTCCAGCCACACTGCCAAGTCACAGAAGGCAAACGCACTGGTAGAATAAAGAAGCACCCACTGTAGGGGCAAATTGGGTTTGAGACCATTGAAGGAACCTGAAGGTGCACAAGTCCATGGGACCTGATGAGATACCTTTGTATGCCTCAAGGGAACTGGCAGATGAATTGGCTAAGCCACTAATCATCATATTTGAGAACTCCTGGCAGTCTGGTGAATTTCCCACTAAAAAAGGGGAAATACAATCCCCATTCTTACAAAGAAAAAAAGGAAGACCAGAATAGTCAGTCTCACCCCTATGCCCCGTAAGATCATAGTGCAGATCCTCCTGAAAACTGTGCTAAGACAAATGAAAAATACAGAAGTGATTTGTGACAGCCAACATGGCTTCACTAAGGCAAATTGTGCTAACATGATTGACAGAGGGTTGAGATTAGGTGATCTTTCCAACTCAAACCTTTCTAGAGTTCTGTGATTTTAACTATGAGACTAGTCTCATGTCACAGACAGCAGATATCTTCTTCCTGTAGGGAAAGCCTCTGCTCACATTAGGTGGATGCATCTTGGCTGGCCAGCTGAGATAAGCCCCAGTCTCCAATGACATTGCTGATGAGACCTCCATGGGCTCTCACGGGAATCATGACAGCTCCCTAAATTACAAACCTGAGATGCAGTGTTGTAATTCTGAATTCCCCTTCCAAGTATCTTTCCATCACGCATGTGACCTTATGAAAGGATAAGTCAGGGGCTATTTCTCACTGGAAACCATGGAATGGAATTAATACTTTCTACTGACACAAAAACACTGCCTGCTGTTTCCTCCACATCTGTGGGGTTGTCTCTGCCTGGGGCTCTGCCTGGCTGCTGCAGCTCAGTCAGGATAATTTCTTTCATGTGAACTCCTTGCGTGGGCTCCCAGCTGGTCCAAGAGGCTGAAAGAAAGTCTCTTTCTGTACCATGTCATGTGCTCAGCTAGTGAGTGGTTTAGTTCCTTCAAATCCTTGTTGAAACACTGCATCCAAAAGAAATAGAAGGTCTTGTATTTTACTCCAAAACAACCCCTGGAGCCAAGACAGAAGTAAATGGAAAAAATACATAATTTTTAAAAAGGGAAGGGCCTATTTACAAAATCTAATCTGTGAGAGGACTTTGAGCTGTTATTGTGTGATTTTATCAAGGAAAGAAAACATGTTAAGTCTCAAAAGAGGTAAATAATGTCAGCACGAGTCTCTGGTTTAGGGCCTACAGAAATCATTCTCCATTATACTTCTGCCTGAAATGTACTGATTTTTATATAAACTATATTTATGAGAAGCAAGATAAGATGTTAAGAATGAGAAAAGTGAAAGGGAATAAATTGTGATAGTGATGTGAGATGGGGAAGAGAAGAAGCTGATTAAAATATCAATTTTCTAAAATAATTTCTACTTATTTAATTACAGAAGAACTTACAGTTTTGGGTCAATACAAATGGATGTTCTCACAACATAAGGGCAGGCAATTAATTGCTGAAGCACCAGTAGCTCTCTGTGGTGCATGTTGCAACAAATGTGCTCTGTTGGTTTGGTTCCATGCATTTTTCCTCAATACAAGATCTTCTGGATGGACATGGCATCAGAGCAGCCCTCAGCCTTGCAGTTGTCTCAGCCAGAACTGGGGAGATGCCAACTCAATAGTCAAATAAAAAGTATTGGACACTTACCATAGAAAACATCACATATCCTCTGTAATTTTCTTCCATGCCATCACTTACAAAAACCTCCAAAGAGACTCTTGTATTTCTGCAGCCTTTTTTTTTTTTAACACTAAAGGAGATTTTTATCTGACTAACAATCTTTCCTGCTTAGGGTGAATCCTGACCACGCTGAGAGCAATGGTGCACATGTTCTTGGTAGTCTGTCCTGACCATGTAATGTGTCTCCTGGACCACAGAAAATGAGCCAACTGCTTTGCTGGATCATGGAGCAAAAGACTCTTCCTTTCAAATGAGTGTTTGGGAATCAGGATTATTTCCTGGAAAAAATCAGTTCTAATTTAGCCGCTACCTAACAGCTAAAATCTATTAGAGATAGGTAAACATAGCTAAAACATTAATGGCAAAGTAAATATGTTTTATTTTGTAATCAGACAAGAATTACATAATAATCACAGGGCAATTACATTAAAATGATTATAGTTCTATGTTACCTACAACTACTGATTGATATACTCTGGTTAGCACCACGTGACACTGTTATTACAGCATAAACTCAGCTGAGTGTGTCCAGAGTCTAAAAATACACTAGGTGATCAAAAAGTAACTCAGTCATAGGCACAACCCCCAACTTGTACAACTGGTGTTCTCAGGGATGTACAGGCAAAGTCTGATTATAATAACCATCACAATTTAGAAGTAACTCAAAACAACTGCATGTTATAGTCTTCAAATAAGGTTTTACGATGTTAAAAAATTATAATGTTAAAAGATGCAGAAATCTTTATAGTTATAGTTAATTCATGGCTAGAGTACAAAATGCTAGTACAAGTAGTAATTTCCGCATTTTTAGAAAAAAAATTCTTGAAATCAGTATAAGTTCTTTGAGCAATCTATATAGGTTTGAAAATTCAGGACTGAAAACCTGCCTAAGCACAAAGTGTATATATAATTTTATTTACATTTTTTCCATGTTATGCCATGGTTTCAGAAAAGGACAACAAAAGCCAAGGAGGATAGTAGCAGATTTCCTGAGGAGTTCCAAGGCCTGGAAAAATACCAAAATAAGAAAGTAACCATAGAAGGTTACATATGTGATCTATTGCATCTTTCAATTCATTGTGCAATGATTATGCCTTTCAGCCTAAACTTTTGCTTGAATCATAGCATATTGTTTTATGATACATTTTTCTATGTTATAAAAGCTGCAAGTGAAGGATCAATTATTATTTATCCTTTTTGTTGAAAAGGAAGAGTTTCTAGACTAAGTTTGTCTGGCTCTGGTTTTCAACCACTGAATCATGCATCTTTTTCTATCAGAAAAAATATTTAAATTCTGTTACACTGTAATAAAATAACCTCTTATTGTTTTCTTGGGTAAGACAAATAGACAAAAACTTTAGACATTTTTACCAGAAGATGCTTCCTAAATTTGAGCATTCTTCCCCAGCTTTTGTATTTCCCTTATATATCAGTATAACACCCCTGATCTCCCCGCCTGCAGCATCCCTGGATGCCCTGGGCACAGGGATAACCAGTGCCTTGCCCTCAGTTATCCTGCTCTTTGTTTCAGGTGCTGAGCCTGGCTGGACCCTGCCACTGGAACACAGTGGCAGGAAGGAAAAAGCAGAAGATGGAAACAGACTGGCCACCTGAGAAACAGAATGGGCAGCTCCATTGGTGCTCATGGTCAGTTTTGTATTTTAAAGTAACAAGCATTATGTACAACAAAACAGTGGTATTTCCTTATTCCTTCTTGGCTGTGATGGAAATTGTTTGCTCTTTTAGCCATTATGTTATTTTTTCTTATATTTTACAGCTACTAAAACCTTCTAAAAGACACTGCTTCCTCTGATAGTCTCTGCTCCCCTTTATAAATGGAATTTGTTTTCTCCTGAAAAATGACCTAACATGTGGTTGTGTTGAAACATGCATTCAAATGAAACCCCCTTTCCAAGTGACCCTGACCTATGCCCATCATCTCTTCTCTCTTCATTATTTTCTTTTTGCTACAAATTCTATCAGCAATGATTTAATATTTTCTTCAAGATCTTTGAATGGGATGAAAGCAGCTCCCTGGAGGCTTCTGCTCACAAAAACCCCTAGCCATTGCAAATACCTTACTCAGATCTACCAACTGAGCAATCCTTGATCTCTTTAAAATGAGTCTGTATTGATTTTCTTGTACAGCTAATTTTTTTGAGAATGGTATGAAGGACTTGCTCTAATAGGACTTATAAGAGTTGGACAACCAAATCAAATTTGTAATGTCACAAAACTTTTGAGGTAGATTATAAAAATTTTTTAAAAAACAACAATATTGATTGAATGACTTGTTCTTTTGACTCCTTGCTGATTGGTTTCTCTGCCAGCCTTTCCTGGATTTTATTAGAGACCAATGTCAAGCTAAGCTTGTTTGTAACCTTGAAAGTCAGACCTTTTTTTAATCTTTGTAGGATTTATTAGCATTAATAATTCAGAGGGTTTCTTGACCACAATTGTTATCTCTTATAGATGCAACTTACCTGGTTTTGCAGTCAGAATTGTCTAAACAGGATGCATGGGAAGGTATTCTCTCCGTGCCAGTCCCCAGTGGCTGACTGGCTGTTGGTAGCTCAGCTTCTCAGCTTCCTGGGGGAACCCCTGCTTGAGTACTTCTGCCTTTTGTACTTTGTCTAATAGCAGGTCCAAGCTGTTAATGGGATTTAATTTCATTTGCTCATGATGTATTTTAATAACTCCTCCTGGCTAGACTTACCCTGAATGACTAATGGTGTTTCTTCTAGCCTTAGTAATTACCTGTATTTCCAAATTTCTTTATTTCTGCCCATTACTATCAGGATCATTTTGGGTTTAGTAGTATTTCTATCTCCCTTTCCTCATTTAATGAAGGGAGGCATTTCTCCTCTGAGGAACTGAGGAGTCTTTGCACAGACATGGGTGATTAGGAGCTGCTGCTCTACTTTCTGCAGAATTTGCAATCTCTCAACCTGAAATAGAGAAAATATCCACCAGAGTACAGAACTGGCCTCCCTAAGATGGTGTCTTTTTGGGTTCATTGGTTGTGGTCAGCTCTGTCCCTGTGGTTCCAGTGCTGAGTTTCCTCAAGGCTTTGCAGCAGAACAGACAGACTGAATGTGATGTGGAGCTGCTGCTGCCAAAGGAGAGGCAGAAGAGGGAAAAGATCTGGAATGATTTCCTGCAGAACCTGGCTCCTTCCTCCAGCCCCAAATGAAAGGGGAGAAGAGACTTCCAGGTGGTACCAACTTAACAGCTGCTCTTCTGACAGGCTCCTCATCCCCTTGGCCCAAAAGCAGACAGTTCCTGTGTGTTTGGAGACCCTTCCCCTTGGAACTAACACCACTGTGGCACGGGGAGCCATTCCTCCTGTGGGAGCCCCCTGTCCTGACCCACCAGGGCCACAGCAGGGGTTACCCTGCCCTCTCTCTGGGATGGCTGGCTACCATGGGCTGTGGCAGCACAGTCACGTTGGTTTGGATCTCTGCTTGGTGCGAAAACTCATCCAAGAAGGGCAAATGCCAACAGAAAAAGCCAAACTTACTTGAGTGCTACCACATATACATTCATTGTTTATCACTATCCTGAAGCTGGTGTCAACAGACTCTCTCCTGCTTGCTTTAGCTTCATTTTTTTTTTCAGCTTTAGGAAAGTGGTGTTCTCAAAGAAGCAAGTGTATGGACTGCTGGTGAACAACTGCAGCAATAGCCTATAGCAACTAAATGATCATAACAACTTGCATCTACACTGACTGACATGGTTCTTTTCACATGTAATGTGGTTTTATCCCCAAGTCCTGTATGTTTTCATAGACAAATCAGAAACATGACTGATTTCACTGTCTGGAAAGAGACTATTTGTCTCACAGGTTAAGGGGAAGAGATTTTGGTACTGTTCAAGCACTAGTTGTTGCTGATAGTTTGTGGTATATTGTAGTGTATGATGTTTTTTGTATAGGAAAAGCCAGAAAATAACATTGGAAAGGACACTTGCATAATCACTGGTGGCTGATAGACTGGCAGAAGATATCTCAAACAAAAATATTGTTTCTATCAAGTAGTGTGCAATTTAATACATTTCACTTTACAAGCCAGAGTCAAGTTGATATTTTAATTCATCCCTTGGATATTATAAATGTTTAGAAATATTAGTAGTTTCCAAAAAAAAAAAAAAAGCCCTGAAAAGACATTGCAGTTTAGTCTTGGTGACACAGGTCTTAGCGCAGTAATTTTTCAGTTTCTTAGCTGGACCCTGAGGGCTGGTGGCAAACTTACTCCGGGGACAAGGGGACACAGAGCCCCACCATAGGCACAGTAGGGTGCAGTGAATGATAAATGCCACATAGCAAAGGGCAGGATGAGCCACAGGCTATTCTCCCACCATTGCTGCTCTTATAGAAAAGGGATCAAATACAGAGGAACAACAAACCCTTCATATTAAGCATGGGGCAGTACAGCTCATACCAAGACAGAACACTGAGAGGTTTTCTCCTGAAGTTCATTTGTAGTTACCATTGGGATCAACTCAGGATTGATGCTTGTAACTGGAGATATTATCCAGGAAATTTTAGCTAAACTGAGTTTAGTTCTGTTAGCCATGGGCACAAAGTAGCACACACAGATTAGGGATGGCAGAAGCTTGCACAATTACAAGACTTTAAACCAATACATAATGCCTCAGCTCTGCTTTCCCTCAGATGCCTCAAGGGCCACTAAGGAGTTACCAAAATTACATGAATTGAGGTAATTCAAAGAAATTTGCTTTAAAATGCCATAACTTAAAGATGGCAGTTTTATTGCCAATGAAAATCATATGAGAGACCAACATACACATTTATGCAAAAATCAGCCAGTTGGGTTTACAACAAAGCAGAGTAAACTGAATCCAGACCAAAAGGGATTTGTTAGCAGCTTTAGATTTTGTTTAAATTTCCCCATAGGACATCTGAAACATATGTGCAAATAAAATCCATGCATAAAACCGCATATTCCTGTGCAGTTTATTAGATACTTGACATCTCAATCAACATACTAATGTACTTCCTGAGACAACTCTTAAGCATCTGCAAACATTTCCTTTTGATTGCTTTTTCCTCTTCCTGTGAAAAAAAATGTTTCTTTTCTGACTGTTCTTCTCATGAGTTTGTAACCCTCCCTGCCTGTCCTTATCTCAGTGCTGGCCAAGCTCAGTTCTATCTTTCTAGAAATGTGGTGACTCAAAAATTTGTCTCATGATGTCTTCACACTGGGAGTGTCCAGCTTCTCAGGAGAATCTCCTTTGGCTTTGAACTCTGGGATTTAAAAGACGGACCTTGTATACAAATATACAAAATATACAAAAAGTATTTTGGAATGTTTTCTTTATGCTGAGGTTGGGTTTTTTTGTTTTGGTCAGAATTGCAGAATTTGATGTATATTAACAAAAAAACCAAAACCACCTTATGACTTGAGGTGTCTCTGGGTACATAAATGTTAATAAATTAGGTAGAGCATCTGTTCTTCATTCCCTAAAGGGAAGTGTCAAGTTCTGGGCTGTACTTCTGTGGCAGAACTTGCTTCCCCACTTCCTCCTGGGCAGTGACTGCATCTATTCTGTCTTCTGGAAACAGATCCTGGCCTGTGTATCACACAAACTGTGCTTGGGGGCTGTCCAGGAAAGAACCATTTGGCATGGGTCAAATCCATGCTGGGTAATGTGTTACTCCATCTACTCAGTTAAATAGCAGGATGATCACAGGCCAAAGCTCTGTCTGTCACCCTGCTCTGTTTGCTAGAATAGGCATAGCCCCCAGATCCCATCAGTAGGCATTTCCAGGAAGCTATTCAGAGCATCTTGTCTCAACAGCTTGCTGGAGGAGCTGGATAGAGACTTGTAGTATTTATAGGGAGAATAAAAGCCTAGCCCTGTCAGGGATTGGCACTGCTCCTCCAGCTCACCTGCCCTGGAGTTTGCAGAGGAGCAGGAATCTGGTACAGCATGATAGAGATTTTACTGCCTCTCTTTTGGGGTGGTGATACACATGATCACCATGCCAACAGGTATACAAAAAACCCTTTTGTATTATGCCATCATGTTTTCCTTATATATCTTCTTCCCTCTCTGCTCTTGCTCTGTCTTTCCCTCTGTCTGTCTCTTACAAGGGCTGGAGCAGCACAGATTCTGAATACTGACAGTTCCCAAGAATGCAGAATATCAGGAATTTTCTCAGACCCATTGGTAAAATACATCTTCTCCCTGCCAAGGTAGCCACACACTAACAAGAAGATGACAAAGCAAGCTATTCAGAAAAATCTCCTAAATGCAAAAATACTTTTCATTTGCCCCCACTGGAGCTCAGAAAGACTCCACAAGCTGTGCAAACACTAATGAGCAGGTAGTGAATACTGCTGTCCCCAGAGAACTCACATCCTCAAGTCTAAGCAAATGCCATTCCTACCAGTACAGTAAAGGCAACCAAAACATCACAACCACAACCAAACTTAGGCAATTGGGCTAGGGTGCCCTAAATCCATCTGTCCTTCAGCTTTCACCTGGCTTTGGCTCTTTTCTCTTTCCAGGGTCACTGTGTCTCTGTGCATCAGGGCCATGTGCTTTGATGCTTCTGTCTGCCCCTGGTGCATGGGGACAGAACCTTTGCTCTGCTGCTCCACCACAGCCTC